GTAGATTTGGTCTGGTGGAAAGTGTCGTTTTTCATGCCGGATCTCCCATCCTGATTCGGTCATGTTCTGCATGGTGAGTTGTGAGGGGCCAATTGGATAGTTTTGTGTGGGGTCCCTTATCCATGAAGCCCTCAGGGCCTTTGTGGTTTGGAGGCTGTCACATTTCAAGGGCAATCAACGCGACAAACATGACCAATGAGAGTGAACAGTTTTTCAGAATGTTAGATTGAGTACTGCACTTCTAGGGGGAGCCGATATTTGCCGCTGAACGTGTGATGAGAAAGACGATAGATGGGACGGTGGACTGGTGTATCGTTTGTCCTTTTCCTTTTGAAAAAAAAAGTCTACATTCAGGTGAAACATGCTTACCACAAGAAATAAGGATCTAAAAAAGGGAACTAGATATTACTACTCTGTGGTGAGAGCTCATAGGCACACAAAGAAGGCGACATAACCGAGACAACACTGTCTTGATGCATATTTAAGGGTATTTTAAAGACACGCGTGACTACGATAATTTGCCGGTTCGATGATGCCGACAACGAAATTGTGGATAAAGAACATCACATCCAATCGAACTATGGGGGCTATTGAGCATTGGCTATCGACATCGACATCCATAGGTAGCAAGACTTTGTTGGGGCTCAGAATTATCCGAGTGGCCGTAATCTGTCACAAAACCCCTAGCGTGCAGTGCATCAATTGTGCCAGGGTGGATCTTGACGCTGACCATATATTCCTAATCCCTCAGATAGTCTTTTTGTTTTTTACTTGGTGGAAGCGTTCGGACGATGAGTAGCCCGGAGGCTATGCTGATCGACGTAGATGACCTATAACATGCACAAACAGTGGGGTTAGTCAAGAACAGCGAGTGCAACGACATGGGGGATCGTGGCTGGGAAGGATCTTTCAGACCGATAGAAGCATTGCCGCGCTATTGTCCAACTTGCTAGTCATATCCTCGCGTTGGGCACTAGCTTGATCCTCCTTAACAATCGTTTCGACCTAATGACTGATCTACTTATGTTGTAGGACTCTAGCATATATGCAAGATCCGCCATAGATTCTGGAATTCCCAACTTCCCCCGGTGACACCCGCCTCTTGCACTTGGTGTAGCCGAGGTCGCATTCAAAGATCTCGGTGCCCTTCTTGTCGCGAATCCCCTAGACTGATATAATTCTGGCCTTAATGAGACCTACAGATGGTGCGAAGAGCTACTCAGCTTGGCTTTTGCCTTTGCTTTACCTAGATCGGTATGATGTGGTGCTTGCAGCGTAGATGAATGCCATGGCAGTTCCCTGATACATCGCCAGCAAAGTCGGATTTTGGTAATCTGACACGAAATGGAATGTTGACCCTTTTCCAAGAGGAAGCGGATCATTGAGATGGTTGACCCCTCCCCCTCCCCCGGGGCTATGGACAACACGATCAATTTGAGGCTCAAAGGGTGGACCCTGTTTTCTGCTGTGACAGGTAGAAGGTTTAGTTAGATATGTTGTACACAAAAGTACTCGAGACACTATGCTTTGACAGGTTTAGCGTAAGATAAGCTAAAAAAAAACAAAAAAACGAAGCATTTCTGAGAGATCCATCGAACAGAATGTCCTCAATTGGGATCGCTTGGATGTTTCAGAATCACATTAGCCCGATAAGAGAATGAGAAAATCAGAAAATGAGACATTAAGCCGAAGCAGTGATATCGAGGGGGGAAGGGGAAAAAAAAAGAAACGAAGGTACTCGGTCAATGATTCAGTTCCACATGTAACCCTCCGACTGCCACCGTTGCACTCAAGGGGGTCTCATTGAATTATGTATGGGTACATTGGGAATGCCGGTGCTCGGTCTCTTGATGATCGTATGTTCTCCATCATTTAGGAATGCTTCTTAATTCTATCTGAAACCATATATCATCTACCATATTGACAAGTATTCCTCTATTTTATCCATGCAATTACACCATTCTAACCGAGGCTATAGGGAGCCCTCCATAATTCCATTCCACTTATGCCGTACTACTATACAGATCTGAAACATAAAGTGTTTTCGAATGGTGGCTTTTGGAATGGCTTTCTTTAATGTTACTCTATAGTATCGGAGTCATCGTAGAGTATCTGCACAACATCGACATAAATTACCGTTACAGTACCATACCTAGTGCATTGCAACACCGCAAGGGCTTCTTCTCCCAAACCGTTGCACTTGCGGTGACACTGTCAACTCAAGAATGGGCCAATGTTGATCCATGCGTAGGGGTCGATACCCTTATTGTCCCTCTGCTTTTCTTCCCTTTCTACTTTCTCCTGGTGGGGATTATTGCTTCCACACTCCCACCGATCCACTCACAGACACAACTCCAGTGGGAGTGTCACATCGGCCTGCCCCCTCCCCTCCCCTCTCTCTCTCTCTCTCCAAACCTTGGTTATAACTTGAGATCTTTCTTCCTTGACCTCAGTTGCTTCATGATCATCCGCACGTCAACGTAGTGAATTTCGATCCCTCGCTCCCGGCTTGCGAGACCTCGCCTCTCCTTCATTTCCCTTCCCCGACTATGTCGGCACCACTGGTCAAGGTGCTACACCGATTGCGAGAGTTGTTCCATAACGTTCTCGCCACACTCGAAAGCATGATCCTGTTCCCCTCATTCTTCCGTGGCCTCTCGCGACGGCGCCAAAAGACGTTCCTCGGCGCCCATGGAAAACGCCGCAGCCTCGATCACTTCGCCGAAGAAGTGGAGACCTTGTGCTCCACGCCGCTATCAACGCGCAACATGGTCGAGATGTCTGAGAAGATTCGCGCCCAGTTTCGGGAATGTTTACAGACTAGCCCATTCTGTATGCTTCCATCCTACAATACTACACTTCCTGCTGGCACGGAAAAGGGCACTTATCTGGCATTGGATGTGGGTGGATCGACGTTTCGCGTAGCTCTGATTGAACTAAATGGCCGGCATGAGGAAGTACGCATCTTGAAAGTGTCGTCTGTACACATTGACGAACAACTCAAGATGCTCGAAGGGACACAATTCTTCGATTGGATGGCAGGGCAGATTGAGACCATCTTAAAGGAAGTTGGGGCAGACTACGGCCGTGGCGATGTACCGCTGGGGATGGGGTTATCTTGGTCTTTCCCCATTGAACAGATATCGCACAACCGCGGGTTGGTGATTCACATGGGTAAGGGATTTAAAGCCTCCGTTGGCACGGTAGGCCAGGAACTGGGTGATCTCCTCATCCAATCATGTCGCAAGCGCAATTTGAACGTCGAGGTTGCCGCTATCGTGAACGACAGCTCGGCAGCTCTACTGTCGCGGGCCTATGTCGATCCCAAGACTCGAATGTCTCTCATTTTGGGTACCGGTACCAACATGGCAATTCACTTCCCAGTGCATGAGATTGGAACGTCCAAGTTCGGAGTCCGTCCGGAGGGTTGGTTTGGCCACGCCAAGCATGTCCTCATCAACACCGAGATGAGTATGTTCGGCGGAGGAGTGCTTCCTACGACACGGTGGGATGACATGCTGAATCGCACGCATCTGCGTCCCAACTATCAGCCGCTCGAATACATGATCACAGGTCGGTACCTAGGTGAGATTGTGCGTCTGATCATTGTCGAGGCAACTGAGACTGCCCGCATGTTTGGCGGCGAGCTTCCACACTCCATGCGTGAACCTTATTCCTTCGATACAAGTATCGTCGCTTGCCTCGAAGAGGACTCCTCTCCGTCGCTTTCCACCTCGGCCGCCCTCCTGCAGAAGCTGCATGCCTTCCACAACCAACCCTCCGTTGACGATCTGCGATTTCTGCGCCGCATCTCGCAGACAGTCTCCCGTCGTGCCGCCGGATACCTGGCGACAGCCATACACAGCATGTGGTGCCTTCGTAACGAGGCGGAATTCCCCACACCCCCTTCTACTGTCGACTCTTTCGATAAGGAATCTCCTGAAATCACAATTGTCGAGCACGGAGACTCGGATAAGAGCCTTTCCATCGCCTGCGACGGCGCCGTCATCAATAAGTATCCTGGCTTCCGCGCTGCCTGCCAGAGCTATCTGGATCAGTTGACGGAGGAAACATCACCGGGTGCCGGATGCTCCATCCGTCTCAATCCGGCCCCTGAAAGCGCCATTCTCGGTGCGGCAGTGGCAGTGGCTATCTCCGTTGCTTGAAGAGCCCGCCTAGCTATAAATCTATTGGTAAACAGGAGTGATACACGAACTCAACGCTGAGCATAGACCTTTTGCTATCTCTTTTGTTGTGTTTTTCTTTTTAGCCATGTCTATCGGTCCATTGGCGCATGGAATGTGATGAGCTTCCGTGGTCTTTCTGATTTCTCATCTACATGGGCATTCCCGGAGGGGAGTTGTGGAAATGGTGTTTTTTGTTTTTTTTCCTTCTTTGCCTCTTCACTTTCGACAGTTGAGTCGTTTAGCATCAACAAGGAGTTTCTGGATTCTGGAATTGACAGGAGTCTCTCAATATGGGTTTCTACTGGGTGAATGGTTATGGAGTTCGGTCTCGTTCATTCATTTTTTTTTATTAACGGGTCCTACGTTTCCTCAAATTCACGGAGGCACATTTGTTTTGGTCCATTCTTACCGTCTATTACCCACGTTCGTGCGTTCTATTACTTTGTCTCTATGTGGATCAGGCCTATGGTCTCCAACCGCTAATGCGCCATGACTCATTTTCCCATAGCAAATTGTGACTGTCTAGCTCACCGCTGGTTTTTCGTCATCTGCTTATTACCAACCTTGTACAAATCCTTTCACTTGGCTCTTTAAATCTAAATCTAATACTTCTCTCATTAGATGAGCATTACATTTCAACTAGTAACCTGCTAAACAAACCAAACAGAGAGCCATCATACCGAGAGTTAGATTTACATGCGGAATTTGTCATCAAATGTTGTAAAAGAGTCCCTGGCACAGAGCATTTAACATCTCCCTCGAAGGATCGAGAACCGCCTAGGTAGATGATCGAGAAAACAGTGACAAGAATTGAACTTCATTGATAAAACTGGCGTGACATTGAGACATTCAAATGTATGAAAGACTTTGCTTACGAAGTTTCTTATAGGCAAAATGAGCTAGGGCGCACTGGCGGTTGGGGCCGTAATAAGTTCCCTAACGTGCACTGGCTCTGTTATTCTCATGAAAGTTGCCCTACAAAGACTTATTTGCTGGTAAAACACAGTACAAGCCTCGACAGACCCCTGGCTGCTGACATTGCAAGCCTTGACGATAATTTGTACTCCCAGCGGAGCCACAGTATCAATCAAAGATCGAACTTTCTCATCAATCGTGGCTTGACGAGACACAGGTATGATAGTCTTTGCACCTTTCGAGGACATCCACTTGGCGATGCTTCTGCCTAGGCCACCTGCGCCACCAACCAAAATGTAGGATGCATCAGGTCGTAAGAGAGTTGGACTGGTCTTGGGAGCCACGGCCTGAAACATGAACGATCAGACTTGAACATCTGAACCCAGACATTGTGTTTTTGTTTACCTTGACTTGATCACCTTCATGGGGAACTACCACAATCTTACCCATGCTCTTGCCATTCTGTAGTGTGCGGAATGCCTTCTCAATCTCAGAAATCCGATAAACCGAAAGTGGTCGGACGGGATGCACCGATCTCTCACTAAGCAGTCGACCAACGTCACCCAGGAGGCGCTTCATCAGCTGTGGCTTGAACTTGCCAACCTTGGTGAGATCAACCGACGAGAAGTTGACGTTGTGCTCAAAAGGCTGCATGTCAAGGCGAGTGTTTTTCGTGATATCAGCCTTGCCAATCTCAACAAATCGCCCGAACGGCGCGAGACACTCCCAAGTCTCGCGCAAAAAGATCACCTGCCAGGGAGTTGACGATGACGTCCACGCCAAAATCACCGGTAGCTCTGCGGATGCTGCGGGCAAAAGATGCATCACGACTATAGAAGATGCGGCTTTCGGGAATATCGTACTGGCTCATCAAGAACTGTTTTTTATGGAGGCTTCCAACTGTAACAAAAATGTCTGCGCCGATCGTCTGCGCCAGCATTATTGCGGCTTGACCGACACCACCAGCACCGGCATGGATCAAAACCCGCTCTCCGGCTTGCAGCTGACCTAGGCCAAACAGAGAGTAGCATGCAGTACAGAATACAACCGGCACTGATGCTGCCACCTCGAATGACATGTTAGCTGGAATTTCCGCAGCGCTGGTCGCAGAGCATCGTGCATAGGTCGAGAAACAGCCTTCTGGCATGGCCATGACTCTTTGGCCAATCTTGAAATTCTTCACATTGGATCCTATATTGGAAACAATGCCACTGTATTCAATTCCAAGGTAGGACTGTGCAAGCTGGCCCATGGAGACCACAATGTCTTTGAAATTGAGACCGCTCACTTTGACTCGAAGTTCAATCTGGTCTTTCCCTAGTGGCAGGGGATTGTCATTTACCAAGTGGAGGGAATCAAGAGCACCTGGATTGCGGATCTGGATCTTGAAACGGCGCCCGAGCTGCCTGAATGGTTGGGTCGAGATTGTCATATCGTGAGTCTCATTGTGGACGAAACTATTAGCAACACCATCTTCCACAATGCGTTGAACAAAGAGCTCTGAGCCTTTGGCCTGGAACTCGAGATCTTTTGAAGGCTGTTTCCCATCGGTGGGCCATAGAGCACTGATGGCTGCCTGAATAGACTTCTCGGGAGTTTCGATGTCCACAGGACACAACCCAAGAGTAGCTATTCTAGCCAAGGTCTCCGAGCGCAAGGTGCGAGTCAAGCCGACTGTCATTTGAGCATCGGGAGAATCAGCCCAGTAGACCCAGAGCACAGTCTGAGCTTTGAGCAGCGCCGTCTTGAGCCCTTCAAATCCATCTTCGGTGAGGTATCGCAGAGAAGTAGCTTCAGTCTGAAGTAAAACAAGTTGCTTTTGAGAGAAGTCAATGTCACCAAAGTCTCGGACGGAAACCTGCCACCCAGGTGTGCCGGATAGAGCAATGCTCAATTTCTCAGCAACGCCATCTGCTTTACCAAAATGGGTGATGAATAGATCGTGCTTGGGCTATACAGAATTCCTCTGAGCGTGTACTTTGCCTTTCTGTTCTGTTTGTTCATTTGTGTTTGCATCCTTGTCCTTGTGGATATAATCAAGATCAAGATTTTCCGTAGCACATCTGCGAATTTGAATATCTCCTTCAACGGTGTTTTCAACTTCGGCCAAGGGGTGCCAATCAATCTTATAGCACAGTTTGTGAGTGTCCTCACGGCGAGTGTCTGGATTTCTGAGGGGGGTCATCACCAGGCCATCTATTGTGATTATGGGCTCTGTGGAGCCCTCTTCGGTGGCAAAAAGGTCAAATTTGGTCGGTTCGGGAGAAGGCAAGCTGAGACTGCCACTGCAGTAACCTTTGAGAAATTGACCAGCTTTAGTTGGGACGTTGAGACCGACTGTCACACGCTTAATCATCGTCGGCATGTAAAGTGTGTCAAGGTCCATTCGGCCTAAGCCCTGGCCAAGGAGAGGCCATGCAAAATGTAGAAGTCCGTGGAGGAATGATGGGTGGATAGTCAACGGGGGTTCAAATCCCTTCGGCATCACACTTCGGGTATCTCTAACGTGCAAATCGCCGAACGAGTTGTGAGGGCTGGAGTAGCAGTTACCAATGTCCTGGAAGATAGGACCATACCCGGCCCCTAGATCACTAAGAACTTGGTACATGTGGGACATATCGAGATGATGAGTAGCCGATTTCTGAATTCGGGCAATTTGAGCTTTTGTGTAAGCGATCTGAGTGTCGAACGGGCTCGAGATCGCAGCCGACTGCTGTTTCGGATCTGAGCGAACCCGCACCTGGCCAGTGCAGTGCTCTGTCCATCCTCTCTTTGAAGTCCATGAGCAGACACGGAACTCATCCCAAACATCGGATGATCCACGGGTACCCTCAGTGTAAGGACGGAGATTAATGGTAGTCTCTGCATCTGTGTCATCACTGAGCACAAGCGCCGAACCGACAATGACCTCCCTCAATTCATATTGGCAGATTTCGATATCAGCTTGCTCCGCGCGTCGTCGAGCGGCCTCAATAGCCACCACTAACTATTGGACAGTCAGCAAGCATAACTTAAACTAAATATCATTTATTGCATTCACATAGCCTGCCGTGGGGTAAACGACCATCCCCTGCATCTTGTGGTCCCGGAGATAGGGAATCTCATCTAAGCGGATGATGTTCCGCCACGTTGGCTCCAGATCATTTTAGTAATTTGCCAAAACCCCCAAGACATCGTTCCTAGCGCGGTCTCTGATCCTATGCTTCTGTGAGATACGGGCAACATGCCAGTACCGCGCTCCATGTTGCCAAGGGTAGCGAGGCAAGTTGCTCAAGAACCACCGGTTTCCTGCACTCGTCTTGGATTAATTTACTTCTGTCATATTTAATGTAGCGCCTCGCATGTAGACAGCAGCAGCGGTATCTAGGACCGACTTAGCTGCATCTACTTCGCGAAGAATCGTTGGTGTATATGCATTCTTGGAGACAGTAGGACCCAAGCTTCTAAGATTGTCCATGATAGGGCCCTTCAATGTGGAGTGTGAACCAATTTCGACCATAAGATTGGGTCGTGTTTCATCCTCCGACATAATCTTGCCAAGAGCATTGGAGAACAATACCGGCGATGTCAGGTTAGCGATCCAGTATTCTGGACCAAGCTCAGAGGGTTCCGCAAAGCGTCCAAAGACTGAAGAAAAGAACGAGGCTTTTGCCAACGGGAAATGCTGAATATTCTCAATTGCAGTGAGGTAAGCCTCAGAAACCTTCTTCATATGGTTGGAATGATAGGCTACGTCAATCTTCAATTTTCGGCTGAAAAGTTTCTTGTCTTGGAGAACGCTTTCGAGTTTATCAATCGCGGACGCCTCCCCAGACACGGTCACGCTGGAAGGACTGTTCACGCAAGCGACGGTGGTGTAACCAGATATAGCCTTTCATATAGGCTGAACAGCCTCGCAGCGGATGCCAACGGCAATCATGGCGCCTTTGAGGGACAGGAACGAGGATTTGAGCAAGGAGGTCATTTGACCACGCCAGTAAGCCAGAGCCATTGCCCCCACCAAGTCATAAATTCCCGCAGCGTAGGCTGCACTGATTTCTCCAGAACTGTGGCCAATTACTGAAGCAGGACAGACTCCCCAAGATTCCAGAAGATTAACTAGCGCAGTCTGAAGCGCTGTGCAGGCAGGTTGACTTAGATGAGGGGAGTCAATCTCAGAGGTGGTGGAATCCTTTTCCAACTCTTCGATCAGTGAAAACTTAGCTCCGAGATTCCGGAGGCATAGATCAGCTCGTCTTATGGCCAACTCGTAAACAGGGTACTCATGTATGAGAGGAACATCCATCTGGGCCCACTGAGCCCCTTGGCCGGTGAATACAAATGAAACTATTGGAGCGCCTAGAACTCTGGATGGGTTGATCTTCAATTGAGCAAGACGGATTCCAAGGTCATCTAGCGAGGTAGCTGACACACCAACACGGTACGAGAGTTGGGACATCTTGTTACCTAGTGTATAAGCAAAGTTGCCGAATAGAGTCTTTTCAAAGACTTCTGGATGTTGCTCAAAGTAGATACCAAAGTCTTTGATTCTAGTGCGTAGAGACTCCTTGTCGTTGGCAGAGATCAAGAACAGCTTGCGTTTGGGGTCCACCTCAACATCCTCAACAGCTTCGTCTGGGGCTTTGGATAATAGCGGTGCCTTTTGAAGAACAGCATGTGCATTGGTTCCCTCAAAACCATAGTTGGACACGCTAAGGTATTTCATGCGAGAAGGCCAGGGCCGCGTCGTAGTTAAAATTTTCATATTCCACGCACTCATAGGAATGTCAGGATTCGCTTTGTTAAACTCGGCTTTCGGAAGCATCAAATCTAATCTCTATTAAGCATCATGGCTGCTTTAATGATGGAAATTATGCCACTGGCGCCCTCCAAGTGCCCAGTGTTGGGTTTGACTGATCCAACGTAAAGCGGGTTCCTCGGAATCCGGTTCTTTCCAAGTGCCGCATGGACTGCTGTAGCTTCGATAGGATCGCCGGTCTTTGTTCCAGTTCCATGCATCTCTACAAACCCGCATTCGTCCGGGTTGAGGTTCGCCTCTTCATAGACACGCCGAATTAGCTCCTCCTGGGCCTGGCCATTTGGAAGCGTAATGCCTTGTGTTCGTCCATCTTGATTGACTCCTGAATGTACAATGACAGCTCGCACGGGATCTTTGTCGCGCAATGCGGTGTCTAGGGGCTTCAGGATGACGACACCAGAGCCCTCGCCTCGCGCGAAACCGGATGTGGCTCTCTCGTCGAAGGAGAAGGTTTTACCCTCATCATTGAACAACCTATATGACTCAATAAAGTCAGATAATATGGTCCTAAGCTTGGCTTGGAGATCACGAGAATACTCACTGTGACATGGACATAGAAACCCAGATATCTGGTACAAGATTAAGGTGACAACCAGCAACGAGGGCTTCCTTGGACTCCCCACTTCGCAAACTCTGTACTGCATAGTGGAGTGCAACAAGTGAGGAAGAACAAGCCGTGTCCACTGTGATACTAGGCCCTCGTAGGTCGAAGAAGTATGAGATACGGTTGGATTGCAGTGAGGCCGCACAGCCAGTGGCTTGATGCATGAGAATCGTCTCGATATCACGGACGTTATTGAGTTCGTAATCAGAGAAATTTCCGCCGGCAAAGACACCCACCTTTTGGCGGGCAAAATTCTCTTTAGGTATGCCAGCACTCTCCAAAGCTTCAAACGCACACTCCAGCAGCAAGCGCTGTTGGGGGTCCATGGACGTAGCTTCTTGAACCGTAAGATTGAAGAAAGGAGCATCAAAGCGTGCGATATCCTCGTCAAGAAAATAGCCCCCCTTTGGGTTGAAGGAACCCACCTTGGACGGGTTAGGGTGTTGGAATGCTTCGACTGAGAAACGCTCTTTGGGAATGGGTGACCAGCCACTTCGAGCTCGTGTGCACAGTTCCCACAGATCACTGGGTGATGTAACTTGCCCCGGTAACCTGCAGGCATACCCGATTATGGCGATAGGCTGGGGATTGCCCTGCTCGCCACTAGGCGCACCTTCAAAATCACCGTTCATGTTTAATATGGTGAAAATTGCAGAAGGTGCAATTGTAAAGCGAGTCTAATGAAGTTCTGGGGGCCACATAGACGACACCGGGGAAATCGGGGAAACGGGCTGCCGAGATGGTTATAGTGCGCTATATAGTGTTGCAAACACCCAGCACTCCTGTTGTGAGTTATCTTGGGGGTTCACAGCTGAAAGAAGCTGTCTCTGCACCTACCATCGATGCTCTGCTAGCATTGGGTGATCGGTGGTTATTCCTGAATTGGTGCCTTTGAATGAAATTTTGTACCGTCCTACATTATAAGACAAAGCAATCGGTGGTAGTCAGGAAGTTGATACTCGGCAGAAATCCCGTGCTTCGGATTCATTTGCTTTAAACTACTTGCACTGCCCGAGCGGTGATTTGCCTATTTCCTACTATGCACAGATAACATATGTTCAACGTTGATGTCTATATCTGCTCGTTTCTTCTTCTTCCCTATTATCAAGTATATAGGCTCATATCTCCTATCAATAGAAAGTTACAGGTTGATTTAAGATGAGGTTCTTATGTCTTCATGGTGCCATTGGTAACATCGACGTAGGTGATGAGAGAAATTATAAGAAACATCATTACTAACCTTGTCATCGCAAAATATTAATATCCAGCTTGGTATACATCATTTGAATTTGAGATTTCAAATTGAGTGTTCGTTGACAACTTTGCAGATCCGTTGGTGAAGCAGATGGCCATGGACGGTTTCGCTTCATTCCACTACATCAACGGTCCTGTTCCTGTGTCTCCACCGGCAGGTACACTTTCCCCGAGCTTGAATACTGATAAAAGCCGACGCTGTCTCTAGGGTTCGCGGAGTATTTTGGTCTCGGGCCTCATTACCGGTGGCTGGAAGATGGAGGAGTAGCAGAGGACTCGATGATCTCTCGTGTGCGAAAATCTCCGCATGGTTCGTCTCCGGAAGATGTGATGAGAGCTTTGGGGAAGGACTGGAATGGTCATTGGAACAGTCACCATCAAGTCATGGAATATCTTTATGATACATTGGAAAAAAATCCTGATGTCGAAGGCATCGTCGGATATAGCGAGGGAGCCACGATGGCTGCAAGTCTAATTCTGAATGAGGATAGAAAGGCTCAGGAAACCGGCCGTCCTCGACGCATCAAGTGCGCGATATTCTTCACCGGCTGGCCTCCTCTCTCCCCCGAGCAGGACGTGGTCCTAGCAGATGAGAGCGAATATACTCTAGACATTCCGACACTTCATGTGGTTGGTGCGGATGGTAATTTTGATATCTACTGCTCCCTTTCAAACATTCAACTCGCCAGGAGTCTTTGGCACAGACCCCTACCGATACGGCGCACTAGCCTTGTTCAACATTTGCGACCCTGATACCGCACCAATGTTCGACACTGGACGGTGTCACACCATTCCTCGATCCGGTCCGGTGATCACAGAATTGGGAAATGTCATTCGAGACTTGATCGATAGAGCGTATAAAACGTGATGAAGGGCTCTGGTACCTGGGAAGCACAAAGCTCTTCTGTGTACCGTGTGACAGCAAAAATGCCATGGAAAAAATACACAAACTCGAACCTGAGGTGTTCCAGATTCTCACAGGCCATATTTGTGAGCCTTGATACAAGTAGTTGGTTATCTAAAAGTTATCCAACGTTTCCTCTTGCCCTTTTGATAGTATGAAGCACCGACCTGGGCATCGACCCATTAGGATAGTGTGCTATCCAGAAGCTATTATTGTAGCTTGTCTGAGCAAATGAATCTTCTAAAAAAAAACACCTCACATCGCAGTTGCAAACTTCCAAGCTACAATTTTAGTCTCCCAAGGCCTTGGTATGGTTACGGGTGTACTACCGTTCTCGAAATCCTAGAAACTCTTGCTAACAGAGCTCCAGGTCAAATGCTGACCTCTAATATCCAGCCAACATGATACGCTCAAAGTTTGGATGGCGCTTCAGCTGAGCTATGACAGGCCAAGTTCATAGCTCACAAGCTAGAAAGGTCTAGCTCCACATTCTAACCCGAAGAGATACGAGAGACAGCAAAGATAAAATGTTATTCATATAATCACCTCCTACTACAATTCAGAACACTGCCAATCAAATATGAACACTACACGAAACTGTGGCCTAGCCAATCCACTGAAGTAACGGTACTACGTGTGCTCGGAGGGTTAATCAAGTAACGATCAAAGCAGTCGGGCATTTTCTGTTCGACGCAGAAGTTAGAAGAAAGAAATAACAAGAAAGAAGGTCTAGCAGTGGCCCCATCTTTCTCCAAATCTTCAACGACTCTTGGATCCCCGCGTGTGATTTGGAAGTCAAAAATGGGTGGCATGATCCTGAAAATCGCTTGGGCACTCTTAGCTGCTATCTCGGGGTTGACCGCGACCTATGCGCAGTCTATGCCGGAGGATGAATGTGCGACAGGTGTTCATGCCATTATCGCTAGGGGTCAAGGCGGGGGCGATGACTTGAATGTGATGAGCACTCTTTCAGACCTGATCTTGAAGCAGATCCCCGGCTCGACCACCCTCGGCTTACCCTACGATCATGAGAACGTCCTAACTGACTTTGCAAAACTGCACACCGTTCATGACGGTGCTGTTTTAATGCAGCAGTTCGTACAGGAGTACAGCGAAAGCTGCCCTCAAGCTAAGATTGTGGTAGTCGGATATTCAATGGTGCGCCATTATCAAACCAACATGTGACATTCTATCCTCATGGCAGGGCAATCAACTACGCAAAACTATGAGGCTCATTGCTGGATAGGGAGCAGTTCTCATGATGGATTCTCTATGCGGAACCAGTGAGGTGGGATTGATCTTCGTCGCCCCTCTTGCGCGGTTCTATAACTCGACTAGTACGTGTTTTCAAAGCGCATGTCAGAGAATACGAATCTGATCCAACATCCAGTCATAGCTGCGATTGCATATGGTGATGAGACATACATTCCTGGTATGCCGTGGAATGTGGGTAGTTGCATACTGGGTATAGGTGTGAGTACTGCAAACCCCAGATTCGAGTGCCGAATTGCAGGCTAAAGTTAAGAGACCAGCTCCTTCCCCGCTTAAATTCAGCCTTGTGTGGACCCTTTGCCACCTCACTGCACAGTTATTGTGACTACGGTGATGCCCAATGCTGTTCGCCATACCCAGAAGACGGCAATGCCGCACATCACGGCTATATCTGGAAGTACAATCAGGATGTCGTGGACTTTATCAAATATAGTCTGACCACGATTGGGCAGTATTAATGCCCACTTTTTAATGAAGACCGTCAACTAGGATAAAAAGAAATGCTTGCCGGTTTCAGGTGTTGACAATCTTCAATTCAGGACTTGGCTGCTTTCCGAATTTACAGATCGAGATGGTATCAAGCGTAGTAGATGCTCGGAACGTACCTCGGTTTATTTCTTGAGCCTCTCTAGGCGAGTTGGCACAGTCGATCGTCTACATAACAATCATTATGATGTCATAATACTGAGATTACACTAGTTTGAGATATCCTAGATTCAACCCCCTCCACCTAGGGTAACAATAGTAAACAGCCTCAAACTACCAAGTATTAGAGAATAGTTATATGTTAAGGCTGAAGCTTTGGTGTTCCATTTGTTCCAAGTATCAAGGTAAGCCTTGGAATGATTTCAGGTCTGAGTTTTCATGTGTGCATCCAGCTGAATTCTAGAGCTTCTTTAGTCTCGTACACATTATCAATACGTACGTGATACTGATATTAAATTCTCCAACCCTAGTTTACAGTCCCATCAACCAACCACTCATGATCCCCCAGTCTCAAAATCCCGGCCTCGGAGTCAGTTTAATCTGAACCTCCCTCGAAACGGAGCTGTTCTCGAACCCTGGAGACTATATAAAACGCCAATTCAAACTACTCCGGAGCGTCTGCAACTACAAAGGTGACCATCGGTATTTTGCAAGGTGCGTGAAGGATGACGCCTATGGCCGTGGAGGAATTGAAGTCCACCCTATTGGTTATGTATAGATTCAAAGCCATTATTAATCTTACATAATCTCACTTGCCACTGAAGCGGAAGCCGAAGGTGCAAAACACACAAGTTGTTCACAACCGCATTGAGGTATACAAATCAGCTAATCCCATTTCGGCATTCCCCAACTCCTTTTTCTTTATCCCTCTTCAATAACCACAAGCCTATCTCTCCATGTTCTCTCTAGCCCGTCAATTCTCCGGAGTCCGCTCCAAGCCTCTCGTACTCACCAGCCAGAAATTCACCCGATCGATCCAGGTACCCCACCGCCTGTACTCGAACCCTCCGAGATCTTCGCCGCCACGCGCACCCTCCGCCCCCCAATCCAGCCGCTCCAATTTCCCGATCATCCCGATCATCCTCATAACCGCCGTCAGCTCCGGCGCCTACGCCTACCTTGTGAAGACTCGCACCGGCGTCCGCACCTCACGCCCAAACTAGCTTCAAGTAAGCAAGGCCTAGCCCGTACCGTAAAAAGCCCCCCAACTAACTTCCGTTTCAAGTCAAGTGCTGCCCCTCCACACGCCCCCACAAACAACCATCGTAACCCCCTCCCCCCCCCCTTATAACATCACCTCACCTCTTTCAACCTCCCAACCACCAATACAACCAACCACCCACAATGGCCACCCCTCGCTTCTCCACAAATGACGTGACAGTCGTCTTCTTCCTCGGCGGCCCAGGCAGCGGAAAGGGAACACAATCCGCGAACCTCGTCAAAGACTACGGCTTCATCCACCTGTCAGCCGGAGACCTCCTGCGCGCCGAACAAGTCCGCGAAGGCAGTCAGTACGGCGAGCTGATCCGCGAGTACATCCGCGAAGGCAAAATCGTGCCGATGGAAGTGACCGTTGCACTACTGTCGAATGCCATGGCCGATTCGCTGGCAACCTCGCCGCCTTCGGCTGGCATCAAGGCCCGCTTCTTGGTCGATGGATTCCCGCGCAAGCTTGACCAGGCCGTTTTCTTCGAGGAAACTGTTTGTCCCTCCGAACTTGTCTTGTTCCTTGATTGCCCTGAGGATGTCATGGAGGCTAGATTGTTGAAGCGTGGTGAGACTAGTGGTCGTGATGATGACAATGCGGCTTCTATTCGCAAGCGTTTCCATACTTTTGTTGAGACGTCCATGCCTGTTGTTGATGATTTCCAGAAGAAGGACAAGGTTGTTTCGGTTAAGGCTGATAGCTCGATTGAGGAGGTCTATAAGCAGGTCAAGGCTGGTATTGAGGCTCGTGGGTTGCACGCTCGTTAAGCCGTGTGCTTGTGTTCATCTCGATGTATATAGAGTTGGGGTCGGTTTTAGGGGGGAAAAGCTGTGAGATTTCCTTCGACTTGAAAATAGACCTCGGGTGCATAGAAGAAGAGGAGAATTTCCAACCCTGAGATCCTTGTCTAGATGGATACTTGGCCGCCCTGAAATCAATGAAGTTGTGAGTTGACTACAGATATGACCCATGACCAGTCTAAAAGAGATGTGGTATTCTTTAGGCCAGAGTAATAAATAGAACAAAAGAAAAGTCATCTCTCCGGAAAACATAAACAAGACTAAGATTGACATGACATGACTCGTGGGGTCCAAACATCCAGCGGGGGCAATAAAAATCCAACCCTACAATTGGCCAGGGAAAAAGAAATGCACGAGGAAAAGACAGCAAAATTTCCCCTCTATTAACTGAAAGATTTTTGTGATCTGCGAACTTTTCCATTCGTAAAAAAAAAGACACATCTATTCGGCACTAGCCTCAACCTCACGCACCTGGGGTGCGGATTGAATGCGTCGGCGGTCACCGTTACCGTTGCGGTTGGTGTTGATTTCTTGATCAGCCGCAGCCTGGATACCCTCGCGGGCGAAACGCTCACGCTCGGAGCGGATCACGCTCAGAACGTTCTCAAGAGAACGACGCCAAACCATCAGGCGGCCTTGGACCTCGGACCACTGCTTCTCGCCGAAGACACGGTAGGTGGCGCGGTGTACAAGGAACTCGGACTTCAGCTGGGACAGTCTACCCTCGACAAGGCCGGCACGAATGGTGTCGATGACCCACATCTCAACATCAGAAGCGGGGACGCGCAGAGCAGAGGCGATGGTGGCGTAAGGGAGCGAACGCGAAGGGGTGGAGGATGCCAGCGAGGTAAGGGTGAGGAGACGCATCTTGGTCTGCAGGGCATCGGCGGACTCGGCGAGCACACCGCCAGAGATGGAAGCGAGCGGGGTGGCAGCGACAAAGGTCTCGTAGGCGTCAAGGGTGTCAGAGGTGAAGATCTCGAGCAGCTCGAAGAGGGCGCTGTCGCTCGAGCGCAGGGCCTGCACGGCGTCTGATGCGGTCAAGGGAGTGAAGTCGAAGACGGTGGAGCGACGCAGAGCAGTAGCGAGTGCGCGCACAGCCAACTCGCGGCTTTCCGGCTTGCTGACGTTGGCAACGTCGATGGTCTCGAGCGCTTGCACGATGTGAGTCTGGGCCAAATCCTCATCACCGGCAGCGGTGGCGGCCTCGGCAATGGCGATGTGCAACTTCCGGGTGTCATCGCTGCCCAACTTCCACGCAGAGAGCCATGTTGGGAGCTGCGAGGTAAGCTGGGGCTTGAGGGCTTCGAAGGCAATTCCAGATCCAGACTGGCGGATTACGGCCACAACAGCGAGGAGAACGTGGTACCGGCTCGAATCGTTGGAAGACAGGGTGTTGAAAATGGTGGTGAGAATAGAAATGGCGAGAGTAGGGCCGAACTGAGGCGAGGTGGTGATGGGCTTAGCAAGATAGGTGCAGATGCGAGGAAGGAACACGCCGGCGTCGGAAGACTGGTGAACGAGGTGGACCAGGAGGTTGTAGGCAGAGGTGATTTCTGCATTTGTGTAAATCTATGTTAGTTTTTGTCCATCCAAGATTCAAGTGCAGCCAGATTCCGACTATCTGCAGATCACTCTTTGTCGACACTTTTCACCCACTTACCCTTCTCGGGGGCACTGTTCAAAGCAGTGGCAGAGGACACAAGCTTCTTCAGGACTTCATCGCGCTGCTTAAGGTCGGCCTCGCCTTCAGACTGTTCCTGCTGGCGGAGAGGTTCGAGGAGCGGGGCGATCTCGGACTGGAGGCTACCCTCTTTGCGGAGGGCATCGATGTACTGGGCAAACTCGTCGGCGAGCTCGGAGAAGGAACCCTCAATGAGGAGGGTATTGGTAGGGGCGGGCATGATGTTGGATGTGGGAAAAGGAGAGGAAGAGAGAACGTGAAGTTCTTGATGGTGGAGTCTATCGATAAGTTGAGAAATTTCAGTGTGTGCCAAAAAAAGTCTTGGCGAGAGGAACACCACAGTACATCTCAACTGCTCTCTGCCTGGCACTTCATTCACTTCATCTCTAATCTCTTACGTAGGTGAAAAATTTAATACTCACGCTACAGTTTTCATTACGCTGATTTTTCCTGTCCACAATGGGTCGGAAAGAAGGGGTGATATTACTTTTTGATCGAATAGTTCCTGCGCGAGATCATCACCTGCGCAGATTAAAAGGAACCCCAACCTAGAGCGAAACAAGAAAGGACAGGCGCCACGTTCATAGACATGGGGATATAATGAATCAAAAAACTATTCAGAGGGGAATCGGATCTCCGGGAGGGAAAAAAAATAAAGCAAATGGCATCGCGATGAGTTTAGTGAATACAACAAAGAGGACGCTATGCGACCCAACCATCAAGTAGTGAATAACTGCCTAAAGGCCGAGGAACACCGTTCTTTTACAGAACCATGCGCGCAGCCACGAACATGAGACCAGCCATCAGACCAGTAGAGTACTGAGTCAGATCACCGAGAGCGACAGCGGCGTTGGTGGTAGTGCTAGCAGGAGCCACGGAGGAAGTTTGGGAGCTGGAAGACTCGGTCGCAGTGGCCAAAGCCAGAGTAGTCGAAGACATGGTCGAAGACATGGTTGAGGATGAAGAAGAAGCGGTGGTGGTCACCTCACTTGCATTCTTGGAGCCACAGGTGGCGGCCTTCTTGCAGCCGCGCTGACCCTCGGCATCGTTGGGGTGCGAGGCGACACACTGGATATATGTATCCTGGCAGACGAAGAAAGGAACGGTCTGCGCGTAGGGCGTCATGTCGGGGACGGTACCATCACTGCAGACACAGCTGAATTGCAGGGTGCTCTGTCCAACCTGTTAATCTCCTGGTTATACAGACGCGATACATAGACACGAACCGGGTCGCACGAGTTGAGCTTGGTGCCTTGCTGGCAAATCTGGGGGCAGGTGTTGCGCTGGGCAGAGCAATAGTCGCCTTACTTCATTAGCATTCTGGTCAACGGACTGTGAGAATCAAAGTACATACTACGCTGGGTACTGGCTACCAAGCCAAGATTGAAGCCGGCGGGGAAGGTGTAAGTGTCAGTGGCGTTGCCAGCCATGACGGAAGTAGCCAGAGCCGAAATGAAGACAATGGAAGAACGCATGATGAATGAAATTAGAGATGCAGTGTGTGGGAGAAGAAAAGAGGAGTGAGGGAGAGAAGAGAAAAAGAAAGAATGGACAGGTACTTTGTATCCCAAGGTATCCCAGGTATTCCAAGGTTTATTTTGGTTCAGAAAAACTGGAAAGAACTTCCCCTACGACAGGTATATTTTTTGCCAGGGTAACCCTCCCCCTAATTTGCATACCAGGTGGAGAGTAAGATCACTAGCTAACTCTTTCATTTGCACAAGCCCTGTTTTACCTTTTTTTACCAGTTTTGATCATTTATTGCCTGACCTAAAATAGTCGACCAAAAGGTTACCTAAATTGGAGGATTGGCTGCGTGCAGCTAAGCCTAGTTAGGCCAAGTTGCCCCTGCCGCTCGAGTCCGTACGAATCAGAAGAGGTTGAACGGAGATTGCTGGGTGCACTACAGTGCACCACAGTGATACCAGGACCCTCATATGGTAGAAAAGTCGCGTATGGTTCCAAGGGTTCCAACCTTGGACGGTTCCTTTATTTGCAGAGTACATTGTACATTGTACATTCTTGCTCAAATTCCCCCATGTCCCTTACGACTACCGGTCACATGCCAGAGTGAAACAATGCATTGTCTGTACGGAGGACTTGGCCACATGATTGGTTCTTCAGTTCAAGGGGAACGTCTTCAGAGCTTTGGATAGTTGCTCCACAAATCTATTGTCCAAGGTTCGCAAATTCATTGGACCGTATTAAAAGATTTGACCCAATGTATACACGTGACTGTCCATCATGCCCTGATCCGTCATGGCCAGAGCCGAGGTTCAATGCTGTTGACGCCGTACCCTAAAACACTACTACTACTACTACTACTACTACATGCTTACAGTGCTAGAACAGTTTGCCAGCTCTTCATATCCCTCCATTCCGCCTATAAATTTGACTGCAGTGTTACCCCCCTTCCCCTCCCTGAAAAAGATAACAAAACAAATGGCAGACCCGACCCTCGCCATCGCGCACCTCCGCACCAACTCATGGGCCAACAATCTCATCTCCTCGGCCGATTACAGCCCAGTTGAAACTGACTCACGGCGCCTAAAGCCTACAACGGGCGAAGATGGCTACTTCGCACAAACCCTTAACACAACCAGCACAATCCCTCACTGCCTGACCCTGCAACGGCGCAACCTCACGTCTGCGCCTACCGAAGTCCCCACCTGGCTCCCCGCCACAAAACAAGATGCCGCGCCTGCCATGAAGCCCACCCCGGGCACGGACCCTGCAGATATTATTATGATCTATGATCTTGGCAGCCCTGGTCTGTCTAGCCATCCGTCCACTGTGCACGGCGGGATTGTCGCGACGCTGATTGACGAGACCATGTCCCTCGCTGTCGCAGCGTTTACCAATACGCCCACTGCGCTCAGTACAACCGAGCAAAATCCGCGCGGAAAGATATTTACAGCACAACTAGATGTCAGATATAAGCAGCGGGTGACTACACCTGCTTTATTGGTTGTCAAGGCGCGAGTCATTGGGAGGGTCGGGAAGAAATTTTGGGTGCGGGCGCAGGCGCTGCAGGAAGATGAAGAGAGTGGTGGGGGACAATTGGAGTCGGCTAAGAGGAAGGTTGTCAAGACTGATGCGATGGCATTTTGGGTTCAGACTTCTGACTCGAAATTATGACCGTCATCTGTCTTTTCTTTTCGGGCTTAATGAAATTGCAAGCATACACTGGAGGATCTTTTTCCCTAATGTACATGTAGGGGTTTTGATCTCGCACGCACAATACCCGATTATGCACGCACGGTTTTTGTTGAATAAGATACCACTAGGGGTAATATCCTAAACAGCATGTAGTACCATAGGATCTTCACAAAAGGATGAATTGAATTGTAAAAACTGTCTATCTTTTCATGCCTAGGAATGAAGCCATACATGGCTTCAATTCTACCCTTGTAGATCTACCTGCCCCTCACCCCCACTAGCTGATTATGCATTTGTAACAAGAATTGAGAGACAGGTTTAAGAAGAAGAAGCTGCTTAAAGAGTGGTGTTAGTACTCAGTGTTAAATTCCTCTCGATTCTATTGACTGAATGTAGCCTAAATTCAAATCTTGTCCTAAGATGTAGGATACTCGACTTTGTATAGCGGAATGTGTAAATAGAGGCGTTAAACTACGTCGATAGCGCTAATCCCGATTCTAGAAAAGTTTTAGAAATAGAATTTAGCGTATGTATAAGTGTAAAGGACATCCTTCCTTTGCAACCCAAGGCCCTACTTGGTGCCTCAGTATACTTATATATACAAGGGCAAGGACAGTATTATTCATACTACCACAAAAGGTTATAGAAGTACAGAAGAAGTCATGTTATTGTAATAATATTTTGGGGTAGTATCTATAAAGGATCGAATCCTAGAGATAACTTCTTCTAGTAAGAATTCATCGATATATAAAATGATAGAGTTTTTCCACTCCACTACTAAGATTACAATGTCCCTCAACTTCTCTACTGTTTTGTAACGGATAACTAAAGAAACCCTCTAGTATGTAATAGGGATCAACTGATCAATGACTCATTAGACCGACGATAAGATCGAACCGAGCGTGCCGATTATTTTCCTTATAGTCTAGTGTCACGGTGTGAACCGTAATGCTTAGTAAAAGGAAGATCACGGCACGTGATCTCCGACCTGTTTATCTT